CTTGGTGTCCGCAGGGTTGTTTCTCTCACATTTTTTCCTTACTGTTGTCCTGCATTTTGCCCTGTCATAGACACATCTTAGAGTTGATGCTGGCTTCACTGGTTGCCTCAGCTTTGCTCTGGGGTGGGTTCATTTTGCAGCTGGCTTGAATCAACTGTGACAGCCACTCACTTTTTCTACAGAGGCCATCCATACAGCTCTCCTGCTACCAAAACCTGGCCACAGATACACAACTCACCCAGAAAGTAAGTCTCTCATGTTCACCTATCATCTTCTATCTGACTTCTTGATTTCATTTTTCACCAACAGGTGAAAGGCATTTCTTATCGTGATCCCATTAGTGCAGAGTTGCTCCTCCTACTTCAGTGGCAACTTGAGTCATTTAGTTCCTTCCTGTATTTTTAAAAAAATCTTTAGCTGAGACACTCCTTCCAATAGGTAAGAGCACGAGACTTTTTTAATCCTAGAAAGGATGCACAATGAAAATAGCAAAAGAATATATTCTAGATGTCTTTTTGGGCAGGTATATTCTATTTACTGTTTCACAAGTGATCTCTGAGGATTAATGAATGAGAAGGAATAAAGTGGAGGATATCTTAGCGTTATTCAGGAAGGAGCATTTTAATAACTAAGCCTCTCAGTATTTGTGTTAGCTCATCAAATGCTGTTCTCAGATTTATCCTGTAGTTTTAACTGCTTTATCTCACTGAACTGATATTTTGTTGATATATAATGATCTTTTGACATGGTTGGTTGAAAATGTAACATCCTCTTCTTTGGCATGGTAAATATCTATTAAAATGATCTTCGTAATAAAGGTATAAATATTTAGCATAGCAGAGAATTAATGATCGTGGGAGACCACAGACATATGTAAAACAGCCAGATACATGTTTTGTTGTGTTCATCCATTCAAAATGTTGAATGGCTGAGACATAAATGTTAATATTCTGTCCTTCAAACATACTATTAGGAAAAGATGTTCTAAATGCCAATTGCTACTCAGAATGTGGGTAATTGTGCATTTTTTTATATAGCTCAGCTTTTGTGCCAAGCAGTTCAGCATGACTATGGGGTTCGGTAAAGCAAAGGGAGGAGGCTTCCCTAGGATGTCTCATTGTCTCTAACCTGGTTTTCCAGTGATTACAATGTGTGGTGTTTTCCTGCACTGTGCTTGCATCACCTACCTCTTACACTCTGCATTTAGAGTAAATGCTAGACCCGTGTAAGTCATGGTGTAGTCCCTGGGTACTTCCTTACAGCACTAACAGTTCCTCCAGTTTTATTGCCCTTCAGCAGTTCACCATTTTCTACTGAGAGAGGACAAAGGTACAAGTTTGTTGGGAGTTAAGATAGATTGCAGGTGCAAGATAATGCAGACATAGAGATAGGGAGTGGAGTGTGCTGGGAGACATGGGCTGATTGATTTAGCCAGGTTGTGTGAGGAACTGGAAAAGACAGAAGAGAGTGAGAGTGACTGGTGGGAGTAAAGTCACAGTTGACTGGGCTGCAGTGTTGCACCTCTGTGGAACACATTGCTTTTCTCAAGCCTTCCAAGGTGGTACCCTGGAAAAGTTTCCAAAGAGAGTGTGGGAGAACCAGACCACGTAGTCCCTCCAATTCTCTCTCATTTATGCATAAGGACGTCACCGGCTCATCTGTAAGGAAGCAAAAGCAGGATTTTCTGTGATTCTCTGTCACATTCTCATCCAGCACAGAGTTCTTACCCAGAGCCTCCTGCACCAGACAACACAATGCTGTGGAATCAAAGTAGGCTGGGAAGCATGAAGCACAGCCCAGTTTCCTAGACACATCCAACGAGAGCAGGTGATGCATCCCTTTCATTGCAAGAGAGTCTGGTAATACGTGTACAGGTCTGTCAGGGGGCAACCTGGGCTTCTGACCTGCCATCCAAACCAAATTGAAGTCAGCTGTTCCTGTGCCCAAGAACAGGGACTGCCAGGGAACAGGAAGGGGCAGATTTCCCTCAAAGAAAAGAGCCAGGAGCTGTGGGTGACCCCACCAACATGACGCAGTCCCACAGGTTCTGAACGTAACAGGTAGAGCTGGGTGATGCCTTTGTGTTTCTGCTTGTAACAAGATTCATTCCTCTCAGGAATTCTTCCTCATTTTCACAGTGCATCATTCATTTCCAGAGGGAATAGAAGGAATTTGACTCGACCCACACGATGATTTTGGAGGATTTATGGAATAATTTTTCAAAAAGGAAGCTCGCACTAGGCCTTCTTTGCTCTTTGTTCTTTGCTCTTTCAATGTATGTTTTAATTGGAAAGTGGCTTACAGGTAAGAAACTCCCGACTGTATCCAGCTAGAGTGTTATCCTAAGATATAACACCTGCACTTCAGCACTTCAGTCCCTAAAGATATGAATGCACTGCAGATCATATGTGGCATCTGACATCTCCAAGCCAAATTTTCATAGAATCATAGAATCATAGAATATTTTGGGTTGGAAAAAGTTAATCTGATCACCTAGTTCCAACCCCCCTGCCATCAGCAGGGACACCTTCCACTAGACCAGG